GGGAGCCCAATGCGGGGCTCGATCCCAGGACCCTGGGATCATGACCTGAGCCGAAGGCAGACGCTTAACGACTGAGCCACCCAGGCGCCCCTCTGACTCTCTTTCTAACTGCTGTTTGTACCTAGACCCCCACCATGATGACTTGTACCTGAATGCCAGCAGCTTCCTGGCCCTGATCAATGGCGAAAGAGATCATCCCAACGCCACTGGTGAGACCCTAGGCTCCTACCTGGGTCCCGTTTTCTGCCTCTCTGACCCCCTGTGTTTCCCTCTCCAGCCTGGCCCGACCCCTGTGACTGACTCAAGCTCTTTTCTTCCCATTCTTCAGCATGGAGGAAGAACTTTCTTCGTGTGGGCCGTCTGGTGCTGATTGGGGGCCCTGATGATGGTGTTATTACCCCCTGGCAGTCTAGGTAATAAGGGACTGTGTGGCCTGAAGATGGGCTAAGGACATCCTCCAACCCCCAACAGTTTTCATCTCAGGACTGAAACTGGCCCGTACCTCCCACTGTCCAGTTCATGCCCCACCCTCCACGGATCCTGTCACTCAAGACCAAAACGTGGGAGTCATCCCTCAACTCCTTGTATCCAGCCAGTCACTAAGTCCTGCAGACTCTGCTTCCTCTCCATCCCTAAACCCCTGCTTTGTTAAAGCTTTTAACTTTCAGATAATTACAGATTCACAGGAAGTTGCAAAGATAGTTTATTTTTTTTAAAAGAGTTCATTTATTTATTTGACAGAGAGAGAGAGCCAGTGAGAGAGGGAGCACAAGCAGGGGGAGTGGGAGGAGGAGAAGCAGGCTTCCCGCGGAGCAGGGAGCCCAATGCGGGGCTCCATCCCAGGATCCTGGGACCATGACCTGAGCTGAAGGCAGACGCTTAATGACTGAGCCACCCAGGCGCCCGCAAAGATAGTTTAGAGAGGTCCTGGGTATGTATCCTTCACCCGGTTCCCCCCCATGATTGCATCCTATGTAACTACAGCACAATATCAAAACCAGGAAATTCTCATTGTAGGATGTGTGTGTATGGTTCCATGCCATTTTATGTTTCTTACCAACTCTTTTACATACCTGGGCTTCCGTAATAGCCTCCAGCCCCGTCCCCTCCATCCTGTTCCTCAGGAAAATCCATGGCTCCATTGTGCTATGTGTGGGCCTCTGTTGCAGATCATCATGAGTGATCTGAAATGTCACCTAAGCTACTTTAGTCCTCAACAAGGTTTTTTTTTTTTAAAGATTTTATTTATTTAATAGAGAGAGAGGGACAGGAGAGAGGGAACACAAGCAGGGGGAGCGGGAGAGGGAGAAACAGGCTTCCCGCTGAGCAGGGAGCCCGATGCGGGGCTCGATCCCAGGACCCTGGGATCATGACCTGAGCCGAAGGCAGATGCTTAACGACTGAGCCACCCAGGCGCCCCCCTCAACAAGTATTTATTGAGCACTGTATGTATGCCCAGGCACTGTTCTGGGCCATTGGGATGCAGCGGTAAGTGAAAGAGAAGTCCCTGCTATTACGTAGCTTAGGATCTAGTAGTGTAGGAGACAGATCGTAAATGTAAACATACATGTCAGGTGGTGGTAAGAGGAGTCGGGGGAAGGGATTGGAAGATGACTGGAGCCTATGTCAGACAGTGGCCAGACAAATCCTGGAAGAGTTGTCATTCGAGTAGAAACTTAAGGAAGTGAAGGAAGGAGCTGTGCAACAATCTGGGGGGAAAACGACTCAGAGAAAGGAATAGCATCTACAAAGGTTCTGGGGCAGGTGTGAGGAATAAGGAGGCCAGTGGTGTGGCTAGAGCACAGGGAGCTGGGGAGAGGGTGGGAGACAAGATGAAAGGGATAGCAGGGAGCCAGTGATGTGTAGCCTTTGTAGGGCAGTCAGGCCCTTGATTTTTTTTCCCCTAAAATATACATAACATAAAATTTACCATTTTAAGTGTACACTTCAGTGGCATTCAGCACATTGACATTCTTGCATAACCATCACCACCATCCATCTCTAGAACTTTTCTTCCCAAACTGAAACTCCATAGCCATTAAACATTAACTTGGGACGCCTGGGTGGCTCAGTCGGTTAAGTGTCTGCCTTTGGCTCGGGTCATGATCCCAGGGTCCTGGGATCGAGTCCCACATCGGGCTCCCTGCTCAGCGGGAAGTCTGCTTCTCCCTTTCCCTGCCACTCCCCCTACTTGTGCTTGTTCTCTCTCTCTGACAAATAAATAAAATCTTAAAAAAAAAAAAAAATTAACTCCCCATCCCTGCTTCCCCTCCCAGCTCTTGGCAGCCATGGCCCTTGACTTTTTATTTTGAGTGAGATGGGAAGGCTTTGGAGGGTTTTCAGTGAAGGAGTCATGGGACGCCCATAGATGGGATTTATTCTATCTCATTTTACCTCCACAACCCTCTGAAGATAGTAATATAGCACCTTTTAGATGCCAAGGCACTATTCTAAGTACTTTTCAAATAAACCTTGTTTAGTCCTCATAGAGCCAGTGACTGGTGAAGTCAGGCTATCTAACTTAACCACGGGGCTTCACTTCCTCTCTGCAAAGGAAGTATTCTTAGATAGGACAAAGAGAGTAAGTAATATGCTCGGCCACACACGAGTGGGAGTGTGCAGCAGAGCTGGAGTTCAGATCCAGGTCTGTGTGCCCGTGCTGCTCTCCTACACCCTTACCCGGTAATGTTTGTTCTTCATGGCCAGTGCCCACTCACGGCCCATGTCATTAAATAGTACTTTTGAAAAATTTAAGACCTTTTTACTTTGGAATAATTTCATACTTGATAAGTTGCCAAAGTATTACAAAAAACAATCTTACGTATTCTTCACCTAGATTTTCTAAATGTTAACATTTTACCATGTTTATGCCTTCATCCATTCTCTGTAAACATACACACGGGGCCTAGGTGTGTTTGTGAAGCATTTAAGAGTAGGTTGTAGACATGAGGTCTCTTTATCCCTGAAACTTCAGTATGTCAGTGATTGTTTCCTGTGTATAGGACATTTCTTACATAGCCATGGTACAGTGATGAAAGTCAGGAATTTAACATGGATAGGCTACTCTATAGACCTGATTCAAATATTTTCCAGTTGTTGCCATAGGGAAAAAAAAATCCATTGCAAGATCCAACCTGGGATCATGAGTCCCATTTACTTGTCCTGTCTCTTTAGTCTTTGTTTTTTTTTCTGGAATACTTCCTCAGTCTTTGTCTCTGACATCGAAATTTTTGAGGTGTATGGTCCAGCCGTTTTGTAGAATGCCCCTCAGTTGGGGTTTGTTGGCTGTTGGCTCATGAGTAGGTTCAGGTTATGCATTTTTGATGGGACTCTGCAGAAGCCATGCTGTAGCCTCTCTATCACCTCATGAGGTACAGGGTCCCCATTCTGAGTGTCTTCCTTGCTGCCAATGAGTTCCTGAAGTCCCCTAGCCTACCTTGATTTTCTCCACCTCTCCTGATAACCTCCTCCCCTGCCCACCCTCAATCTCTTTGTAGCTTCTTTGGTTTCTATGACGCAAATGAGACGGTCTTGGAGATGGAGGAGCAACCGGTGAGCCCCCTGGGATTACTTCCCCTTTCTTCATGCACTGTCCCACCTCAGTTTGTAGCCCTCCCTGCTGCCGACCCTTGAGAGTGGAAGGGTTCACCCTGTGGGGAGGGGACCTGGGACACCAGCAGGAACTCATGTTGTTTTTCTGTCTGTCTGTCTGCTGTGACCCTTCGCCCACCTTGAAGGTTTATCTGCGGGATTCTTTTGGGTTGAAGACTCTCTTGGCCCGGGGAGCCATAGTGAGGTGTCCGATGGCTGGGATCTCCCACACGGCCTGGCACTCCAACCGTACCCTTTATGAGGCCTGCATTGAACCCTGGCTCTCCTGAGGATGTCCTCAGGGATCCCCCAGGAACTCCCCAGCCCAGAGACCAAGCAGTGGCCTTGGAAAGCAGATGTCAGGCTCCGGTGTGCCTGTGACCACCCCATTGCTCCCACACTGCCCGCACCAACCAGGGCTCCCAGAACCCCTTCCTCTTCTCCTCTGTGAATGACCTCATGTCTGGGGTTTGCTCCGTGCTCTCTCACCCTCCCAAGGCCGAGGCTGGGAAGAGAGAAACCAGGTTTTGAACTTGCAGCTACTCTGCTGCTCCTCGGTCTCGGGCTGCACCGGAGGAGAACCCGACCCCTGCCCGCTGCGGGGGTCTCCTTCCAGGCCACTCAGGTCATTTTTAGCTTCTGTTCTCCCCATGTTCCCTTTTCCTCAGCCCTCCCAACTCCCAGGAAGGACTACCCATGAGAGTGGGATTCTGAGGCTCCCCTATGGGGACAGTTCTGTTCTTGAAATGTCAGTGTTGGGGATTATCTATGGCCTGTGAGGCCCATCTCAGGTTTGGGGATCCCCCCAGTCCCTATGTTCAGTGTTGGGGTACCCCCTGGGAGCCTAGTTTCTTTGAGGCCCCAGCCCCTCTTTTAGCTGCCATTGAATGGGTGTTAACCCTGTATTAATGGAAATAAAGTTCCATTTCCTCAGTGTGGCTTGGCTCATTTCCAGGTGAGGGGGACCTGGCTCTCCAAGGAGGGTGGGGATAGAGAGCCTGAGGTCTGGGTGCCCGGATGCCTGGTCTGGGGTGGGACCCCCTTGGTGTTTCCGCTCTCTAAATGCCCATTCTGTGTGGGTTCCTGATTCTCTGTGGGTTCTTTCCTGCAGAGGACAATTCTCTTCCTGTCCCAACCTAAGCTTGGGGGGCTGAGCCCAGGGCTCCAGTGGTTTGTGCCCCAGCCTCATGGGTGGAATGCGCCTGCCACCCCCAGGCTAGATGAGGGGCCTAAGGGTCAGGGTGGGCATTCGTTGTACCCCTTTTTGACCTTTGTAGGCCACAGTTGGGTGAGGGGCTGGACAATGAGCCTCCTCTTCCTTGAAAGAAGGAATTTTGGTGGAGACAATAGGGCCCTGTCTACTCTCGCATGGGGGGTGGTGGCTGACTCAACTCTGCCCCCCCCCCCAAGGCCCTAACAAATGTCATCAAGAAACGGGGAAATTTCCCCTTAGTGCCCTGGGCTGTCCCCCCGCCCCCCTCTTGGCCTTTTGTGACGACTTGCCCTCCTTTCTTTCTTCAGCTGATCTTGCCTCTTCTCCCATCACCTGACCCTGCTTTTCTCTGCCAGTTCTGTCTCCCTGCCCCCCACTTCTCCCCCAGTCTGTGTTGGGTTGAGGGGTGTGGCAAGGGCCAGGGGTACCAGTGATGTTACAGAGCCAGTAGCCTCTGCTGATTTGGGGAGTCCAGAAATAAGGGGCATCAGAGGGTTGGAAATTTACTTCTAGGGGGCCCTTCGCTGGGGTGGTGTGAGGGTAGTGGGACCTGGACCCCACGGAGCAGATCAAGCAGGAACTATGAAGTCTTGTGGGAGGGGGCAAGAATGGGAGGATTCTGTCTGGCCCAGCCCCTCCTCTCCTTCCCAGCCTGCCCAACCCGCCCACCAGTCTGAGCTGCTGCTGCTGAGGCTGGTCTACTTGAAGTCTCCCGGAGAGAGGGAAAGACAGGTGGGGAGACCATGTCAATGGGGGATGAGCCTTAGAGTGAGTGTGAGTTGGGGAGTGTTGTGTGAGGGGTGTCGGTGTGGGAGGTAGTAGGGATGTATTTAAGGTGCATTTTCTAGGTGCATGGTTTTGGGTGCAGGGTGTGAGGGGGTGTAATGGTGAATATCTGAGGCTTCGAAGATAGAAAAATTAAGATAGAAGAGGGCACGTTACAGATAGGAGGGTCCTGGGGGAGAGTTAACTGGGTTGTGCAGAGGGGAGGTGGAGGGAGTGTGTTGGGGTGTGCCCTTGCATGATGCTGCGGGGACCGTGTGCGCTGAACGAAGGGGTCATGTTAAATGTACATGCAGGTGTAGACAATGCTGGTGGCTAGTGCAGGTGTGTACAAATGAACATGCTGACTCCCTTAGAGGGCACTAGCCGACTGGGCTCTTGGAGGGGCTGGAGCTGGAGAGCTTACAGGAGAGGGGAAGGGCCTCCATTAACCTCTTCTTGCCTGCAGCCTGCAGAGTTTGGAGTCAAGGAGAATCATGGGGTCCAGGGATGAGCTGTACACTCTCTTAGGCGGACTCTCGTTCCTCCTGCTACTGATGTCAGTCCAGGGGGCCAAGGGTGGATCCCTTAAAGAGAGGTGATGACAGAGGGGGCGGGGGCAGGTATGAGGTCTTCAGGAAACCTGCTGGGGGTGGGACTTCAACAGGTGGCAAAACCATGAAGTTTAGAATGGGGGTGGGGCCTCAGTGGAGCCTTGAGGGGAGAGGGATTCCTGGCCCCCAGGGCCTGGCCCACTCAGTGTCTCTCACCTTCTCCGGCTTGGGTGCAGTCAGGGGGTCTGCTCCAAGCAGATGCTGGTGGTCCCCCTCCACTACAACGAGTCCTACAGCCAAGCAGTGTATAAGCCCTACCTGACTGTGTGCAGTGGAAGGCACGTCTGCAGCACCTACAGGTGAGGGCTGGGGAGCCTGGACTCTGCAAGTCTTTCAAGAAGAACTTCAAGAACCCAGACCAAAGCCCATAAACCAACGTTCACAGCCAGGCCTGTGTTCTAGGACCACATACCGAGTGGCGTGGAGGGAGGTGAGGAGGGAGGTGCAGCAGACCCACGTTGTGTGCTGCCAGGGCTGGAAGAAGCGGCATCCGGGGGCGCTCACCTGTGATGAAGGTGAGACTGGGTCTTCCCAGGCCTGGGGACAGGGCGCGCTGCAGGGCTGGGGAAGCTGGCTGTTGGTCCGGTCTTGAACCGCCCTCCTGCACCCACAGCCATCTGCGCCAAGCCATGTCTGAACCGAGGCGTCTGCGTCAGGCCAGAGCAGTGCGAGTGCGCCCCAGGCTGGGGTGGGAAGCACTGTCACGTGGGTGAGTGGCCCACCCCCATCCCCACCTCCAGCGGCATCAGGACCTCACCACCCTTGGGGCGCCGGCTCGCCCCCACCCTTTAGCCCTCTCCTCTTTCCCTTAACTAGACGTGGATGAATGTAGGACTGGCGTCACCCTCTGCTCGCACCATTGCATCAACACGGCGGGCAGCTTCACCTGCCGCTGTCCCCAGGGTCTGGTGTTGGGCCCGGACGGGCGCACGTGCGCAGAGGGCGCCCTGGAGCCGCCAACCAGTGCCAGCGTCCTCAGCGTGGCGGGTGAGTGAGTGGGGCGGCGAGGGCCCGGGCTCGACTGGGCAGTGGGTGACACTCTCTTTTGTCTCAGTTCGGGAAGCAGAACATGATGAGCGCGTCTTGAGGTGGGAGATCCAGGAGCTGCGAGCGCGCCTGGAGCGGCTGGAGCATGTGAGTGGAGATGGGGGTCAAGCCCTCCCGGCAGGGTGTGCCCCACCCCAGCACTCCTGAGGTGTCTCTTCCTTTGTAGTGGGCTGGTCAGGCCGGGGCCTGGGTCCGAGCTGTGCTGCCCATGCCTCCGGAAGAGCTACAGCCGGAAAAGGTGGCAGAGCTATGGGGCCGCAGTGACAGGATCGAGTCTCTCAGCGACCAGGTGCTGCTGCTGGAGGAGAGGCTAGGCGCCTGTGAGTGAGTCCTCCTACCCCTCTCTGCTTGAACCCCCCTCGCCCAATAGCTGCCCCCAGCTCTCCGAGACATCTTTCCCTAGATCACTTTTCTCTTTTCCCCAAGCCCTTCCCCAACACTTCAGTCTTCCCATACTGTCCCTAGATATCCACACTTCACCCATTCTTCTGGTGCCCTGTCCCCAGTCCACTTTTTGTTGGGTGAGAGTCTCTCCAGTGCCCTGGTAGCCCCAGAAGTCTACAGCCAATGTGTCTGCTTGCTTCCTTGTCATTCACCAGGCTCCTGTGAGGACAACAGCCTGGGCCCAGGCCTCAACCGGCCAAAAAGGAACCTCTCCAGAGCCCCGGTCCCCTAATTTATACAGAAACTGGCCCCGCTAATCCTTTGGGATCGGCCAGGTGGGGAAGTGCAGATAAGGTTATCTGCCACTAAGGAGCAATAGTGATGGAGACTTCCAAGAGCTGAAGAAAGGCGGGGAAGATGGGTGCCTTGGCCCACCCGAGTCTTCTGGCTGGGGCAGGTTGCCTGGGCGAGAACCACTTTAATGCCTTCACAAATGCAGCCAGAAAGTGCCCAGATCTCTCTCTCTCTCTGTCTTTATTCTCGGTTTCTTGCTGTTATCCAGATAATTAATAAAAACCAACCACGCAAAACTGGGTCCTGCCCTCTCCTTTTGCTCCCAGCCCATCTCCCCAGTTTGTGGGCACAGGTCTGGGGTGGGAGGCAGGAGTGGTTAATGCCACAGGGAGGAAATGAAAACTGGCTCAGAGAGGGGAAGCCTCAAAAGAAAGAGAAATAAATTAAAAGCCCTCCCATCCGTCCAGCCAGGGTTCAGTTCCTTTCCCCAATTCCCCAGGGAGCAGAAGTGAGTGCAGCACCTGATGTCTGCCTCTTCCCTTGTGTGTGGTTAGAATGGTACAGCAGGGCTGCAGGGGGCTGGATTGGGGCCAGGACCACTGAAGAACTGTACCACAGGGACAGGGGGAAGCAGAAATGTGGAGACCAAACTGGCATCTAGGAGTATGCTCACCCCTGGGCACCTGGGTATGGGCAGGATGAGACAGACCTCTGAGTGAGAAGAGTCCAGCCTCCACTGACAGGCTCCATGGGAGGGAGTGTGAGGGTGCTGAAGAGTGTTCCCAGGATAAGCCAGGAATGTTCCAGGCATCACTTCCAGCCACAGTGTGAGGAGTTCTCACAAATGGATAAGTCCACTGAATCCATGGACTTGTGGGAGGGTATTGTTCCACAGAATGGATGAGTCCACTGGCCAATGTGGGGTGGAGAGGGAGAGAAGATCACAAAGGAAGAGGGTCCACTGGGGAAAGGATGGCGTGTTCCCACCCTCGTGTAGGTGAGCCACTGGAGATGAGGGGGGAGGTAACCGTCCCACAGACAAGATGGCACAGGAGGTGGGTGGGGTCAGAGTGGAGACTGCACCGAGGCAAGAGAGTCCGTGGGGGAGAGCTGGGAGGGGGCAAGGAGCGGTGCTGTATCCACATTCACTTCAGAAGTTGAAGATTCCCAAGAGGAGAACAGTGGGGAGAGGAGAAACAAGGAAGAGGATCAGGGCGCACTGGGCGGGTAGGTGTGGGAGGAAGGTGGGGGTAGATGGGAGGGGAGTTCAGAGCCGGGCCTCGCCCACCCCTCCAGACTTCTTCAGATAGTCACCACCGCCCCGGCCATCAGTGGAGATTTCCCGGAAAACGGTGAGCATGGAGTGTCGGACTCTGTCAGCCAGAGCTGGGACGTCATCTGGTGTCAGCCCTTCTGTGGGCACGGGGGGCAGCACCCGTACCTGACATCGCCCTGGGAGGGGGTGAGCACCATCATGGCCTGTCTCCCTGGGCCTTTGCCCGCAGGTGGGGCACAGTTTCTGAGCTCTCCTGCTCCTCCCTCCCCAACCTTTCAGTTCTCTTCCCCCTACCCTGGACAACTGGCCCTGTGCTTGCCAGCTGCCACCTGGTCCGAGGTCCTCCTGCACAAAGCCTTCCCCATGCACCCAGTCCAGACACCTCCTCAGCACCCTTTCAGCCCCCATCGTCTCAGCTTAGCCTTTACTGCCGAGTGTTACTATAGCGTTGTGCACACAGGCCTTATCTCTCCCACTGGACAGTAACGGCCCCTCCTGGAGGGACCGAGCGTTACCCGTGTAGCAGGGTATGGTGGGTGCTTAATAAATATTTATTGGTTGATGTGCGGTCACACTGGATGATCCTTTGGACATCTCAGTTCTGACACCGACCCATCCTCCTCCCTGGTGGGGCCAATCCCTCTAACCTCTCTCATCCATGGCCTTTCTGGCCACCCCCAGCCCCAGGTCTACTCGAACCCTCACCGGAAGTGAAGCGGCGCTCCTTCTTGCAATAGAAGTCTTGATAGGAGGACATGACTATGGGGACAATGGGAACCTGGGGAAAGGGAAAAACAAACAGCCCACATTTCCCTTCCAAGGCCCTATGACAAGCGTCTGCCAAGAAAGAAAGGGATGGTGGAAGCTGGGGGGCTCAGCAGCAGAAGGGGAAGTAGTCGTTACCTGGGCTTGCACTGCAAGGTGGAAGGCGCCACGTTTGAAGGGCAGCATGGAGCCATTGTGGTTTCTCGTGCCCTCAGGAAAAACCCAGACCCGCACCTGGGGAACCACACACGGAGGGGTCAGAATATGGTTGTGATGCTGTAATGGGACCGCTGAGGCCCGCTGGCCCTGCATCTCAGTTTATTTACAACTGCGCTACTCCACAATGCCCCGACCCTCCTTTCCCACAGGGTGACTCACGTCCTGGGTGAGCAGGGTCTGGGCGACTTCAGACATGACACTGATGGCATCCCCTGTGCGCTTCCGGTCGATGAAGATGACTCCTGCCAGCCAGCACGCCAGCCCAGCAGAGCCAGCCCACAGCAGCTCACGCTTGGCAATGGGCACACAGCGGCCTGGCAGTACCTCCATCATCCCTAGGGCAAAGGTGGGGTGGGTGAAGGGTGAAGGCCAAAGGAGGCAAAGTGTCAGGGTAAGCGGGGCCACACTACTAAGGACTGGAGATAAAGGAAAAGGGAGACTGAGGGGAGGAAGAGGTGATTAAACATGTATTAGCCTGCCTATGCAGGTGAGGTCTGGCGGGAAGGGGAGAAGGGAGCCAGGGGGCAAAGTTCAGATGAAGGGGAGGTGAGGACCCCTAGAGGAAGAGATTCTGGGGAAGGAAGAAGGGCATGGCAGGGGTGGGGGGGAGGTGTGCCCTATGAGGGATCTCACCAAGCAGGTCCAGTGAACTCTGGTGGTTGGAGACCACGACGTAGGGCTGGGAGGGAGGGAAGTGGTGAGCCCCGCGCACCTCCACTCGGATCCCATACAGGTATTTGATGTGCAGCAGCATCAAGCGCAAGATCCTGTGGGGTCATGGCAAGGGGTTCCAGCAGGACCCACTGCCGTCCGTCGGCAGGCCTCTGTTCCCCCATCCTGCTGTCTTCCCAGGTATCTTTGCAGTCTTCTGGCCTTCCTTGTCCCTGGGCTCTCTCTACTTTCTCTACACACCCCACATCCTCCCCATCCACTGCTCACTTCTGACTCTGAGGTTCTCTCATCACCCAACCCCCCCCCCCCCCCCGGCCCTCACTTCATGTTCTCGACGTTTCGCCCTCGCACGGCACACACAGGGATGGCGAGCACAGCCAGGAAGAGGATCCAGCCATTGTAGAAGGCCATCTTGAAGAAGTATTTGGCACTGGGGCTGCAGAACCACAGGGCGGGCAGCAGGAGGGGCAGCAGAAGGAGGAGGAGCAGCAGCGCGGTCCATACCCCCGGCCACAGCTCCATTCTGGCCGCCTGCAGGGGACAGGGCAAGGGACAGTGGGCCTGGCTCCTGGGTGGGGGAGAGGGGTGGGCAGGGCACAGAAGCTATGAGGACAAGGGCCAGAGACACAGGATGGGGTCAGGGCTCCCAGCAAAACCTGCCCGGGAAACCTCTCTGGGATGGGGGTGCGGGGGGCTGGGAGCTCAGGACTGCTCTCCCACCCCTCTCCTGGAAGGCTCCAGAAACATTCACAAAGACAAGAGACATGAGATACGGCCATCCACAACTCAGACACATGATAAGAGGACAACAGTAACCGCAATAGCTGACACTTGCAGCTGGTAAGGTCTTAGGACTGACTGTCTAGTGTGGTAGCTTGAACTGAGATGTGCTGGAAGTGTTAAGATACACATTAGATTTCAAAGACTCTGAATAAAAAAACAGAATGTAAAATAGCCCACTAATAATCTTCTGTATTGATTACATTTTGAAATCTTAACCTTTCAGAATACTGGCTTCGACAGAACATATTATTAAAATTAAATTCACCGGGGCGCCTGGGTGGCTCAGTCGTTAAACGCCTGCCTTTGGCTCAGGTCATGATCCCAGCGTTCTGGGATCGAGCCCCGCATCGGGCTCCCCGCTCAGCGGGAAGCCTGCCTCTCCCCCCTCCACTCCCCCTGCCTGTGCTCCTCTCTCACTGTGTCTCTCTCTGTCA